TCTCTGCATGCTCAGGCCCGTCAATCGCGGTAGGAAGATCTCCCTTTTCTGCGGTGAGCACTTGCAAATTTAATGTGCAGCTCGTCGGTGGCGGGTGGCTGGTCTTTGGATGTGGAGTGGGGCTACTGTGGTCATCTGCCAGGCCGACGGTAAACAGGGAGTCGTTGCTTACCAGCACCCACTCCACGAATGCGGCAAAGTCTTTCCTGGGACTGTGTGCTGGAAGCCGTGCCGAGTGGTCTGGGTAGTGCTTGAGACACGCTATATGTACACTGTAAAAAATTGCTGTAGTTATGCAGCTGTTTGCCAATAACTTACTGTAGATTTAAATTGATGTATATTTACTGGCAACAGTTTGTTCAAAGTTAAATGAACATTAAACATTAACAAGTCTTTGTCTTTACAGAATAAAATTATAAAATAACAATCTAATGCAAAGCATTCTGGGAACCAGAAATCTTCATCAACCTTTTTCTGTTTTTTTCCTTCAGATTTTGGTTCCCAGAATGCTTTGCATGAGGCTGTTATTTTAGTTTTATTCTGTAAAGATAAAGACTTGTTAATGTTTAATGTTCATTTAACTTTGAACAAACTGTTGCCAGTAAATAACATCAATTTAAAACTACAGTAAGTTACATGGCAAGCAGCTGCTAGTAATACTGTAATTTCTACAGATTTTTTTTACAGTGTATGAAGTCCCGTGTATGATCTTCCAGTGGACGGTCACCCTGCTCCAGGCAGAGTAACTGAACTGCAAGAAGGCCCATGGATGAAAAACAAAAACAAACAAAATGGAAAAACGGCACAAAAATGTAAAAAGTTCGGTCCTGTCTTCTGTCACCAGTGGCTGTGCAATGAAGTGCACAACAAATGAGAATGCAATTCAAATATGCTTTAATCAAGGAAACTGACATAAAACACCTCAACATTGAAGTAGACGGGACAAAGGAATATATATATATATATATATGTGTGTGTGTGTGTGTGTGTGTGTGTGTGTGTGTGTGTGTGTGTGTGTGTGTGTGTGTGTGTGTGTGTGTGTGTGTGTGTGTGCAAAACAAGTGAAAAACAAAAGATTTGGTCAAATTTGAGGTTTTTACAAAAAATGAGCTCATTGAGCCCTCGTCTCCAAAAAGCAATTAAACATCTAATAGCTTTATTTGTCCGTTTTCTGAGAGGAGTACCTTTCCTTTGAACATGAAAAAGTGACGGTTTTCTCTCCTCGCTTGTCGACGACTGGCTTTACTGAAGTTGCCATATTGGGCACTCCAATTTCTCCCAATCATTGCAATACAAATGGCCTGTCTGAGCTATATGGTTTTAGGTACAATCTACAATTATATAATTGCCTGAATGTATTTCAGTTTGGTTTTGTATTCACTTGTTTGCCCAACAGATATAACAAAAATACTGGAGTTTATAAAGACATAAGAATATAAAGATATTGGAATTTATCTTTGGAGCACTGATTTCAGATATTTGCATTTGTTTTTGAGTTTGAAACTATAACACAAAACCATACATAACTGCTGGAAAAAAAGGCCTATTATTATATATATATATATAAATTGGGCCTTTTTTCCAGCAGTTATGGTTTTGTGTTATAGTTTCAAACTCAAAAACAAATGGAAATATCTGAAATCAGTGGTCCAAAGACAAAGAGAGAGAGAGAGAGAGAGAGAGAGAGAGAGAGAGAGAGAGAGAGAGAGAGAGAGAGAGAGAGAGAGAGAGAGAGAGAGAGAATAATATTCTAACAAAGAACCTCCCTCTTAGGAAGATATTATCTGACAAACGCAAAGCGACCAACCACAGATTTGTGTGTTTTTACCAAATATATATATATAACTTTCCAGTTTTGTGTGCATCTGATGGTCAGTTAATGGATTGTGTGTGGTCTATGGCATCTGTCAATGTTTATGAAAATACCATTGTACCATTAAATTTGTGCAACTATAATTCAAGGCAAAAGAAACTGATTATATATATATATGGAATTAATTTCCTATCTTTGAGAAAATTCAGAGAGTGAAATGAAATCTATTACTTATATTTGATGTGGCTGTAGTAGTTTAGAATGTTGCCATGTTTGTGTGAAAGAACTTTATTTGGTTAGAAGTTGAGTGCTGTGCAGCTGTGTACAATCACAAATGTTACCCTTTTCATTGGAAAATTTAGTTTAGGTCATTAGTCACCTTTATTTGGAAGTTGTACAGTTCTAGTGAACTCATTCCAGTGAGCTCATTTGGAATGGTCAGTTTATTAAAACGTGATCTAGAATGATATGGGATGCAAAACAGGCCCATGTTTTTTGGACTGAACAAACTATAGAGCAAGGGTATTTCTGTTTTTTTTTCTTCTTCTTCTTCTGCCAAATCACAGTCACAATCTTAACCCTCTGGTGCTGTAAAAATGACAGATTTGTTTTTCAATAAAATGAATTTAGGTATACTCTATATTTTAGTTTGAAAATGTTTTTTAATTTATTTTTTAGGAGATTTGATGGTGCTAAATTATATTTATGGAATAGTTATGATCAAATTATTACCTGTTAATCACTTTTTGAGCATAGACCTGAAAATGAAATTTCCAACTTAAACTGTTGTAAATCTTGAATGATTTCAATGTGCACACTATCTATCCTAAATAGTAGGTATGTGACATTAGTAATTGTCAATACTATTTAGGGCACATAGGGTGGAGTATGCACATTGGGACGCAGCTCATGTTTCATCTCTTTTTAAAGAAGACACTTGGCAGATTATTGGTGGTTAAATAAAAAAGTTAAACTAAAAAAAAAGTTATAGAAGTTGAATTTATTATTATGAAAAGTGCACAAAAATACTATTTTTTAATTTTATATGAAATATATATTTTCCAAAACATGTTTTACTCTAAAACGGTCATAAAACCAAAGCCATAAATCTAAACAAGTTGAGCTTTCAATAAGATTTTGTTTGGGCGCAGTACCTAAGTGACCATTTAACCTTTTCGAATCATGTCCACAATTGGTTGGTGTGTGAGTGTGTGTGTGTGTGTGTGTGTGTTTGTGTGTGTGTGTGTGTGTGTGTGTGTGTGTGTGTGTGTGTGTGAGTGTGTGTGCGCGCGCGCGTGTTCACATAGCAAGTGCCATTTACTATGTTTTGCACCATTCCGATGAAGTAAAACATGTTGGGGGAAAAATGACCAAACTAGATATAGCCACAACATATCCTCACGTGATAAAAGGTGAGGGAGATTTGATTTCTATTTGAAGAATAGGCCTACTGTAAATACAGGCAACCATGAATGGCAACTCTTTTGCATACCAAACAACATGCTTTCAGTTTTAAACTTACATAATTTTGAGGAATTCGATGAAAGGTATGAAAACATACAAAAACAGGTTCATAAAAATAAGTTACTTCCCATAATATTTCTAAGCCTATATCTTGTTACCTTCTGAGAACTGTTGACATTGCTGTGCATTGCTTACCTTCTGAGAACTGACATCTTTTAATCCTATAATTGCATTTCTGGTAATCAAAACAAGAGTCTTGGCAGGGTTCACAAAGAGAAAAGCATCCGCATACTGCCTTTCTTTACTGAACAAGCATGTAAAACTGGGACAAATTTAAGAAGGAACAATCCAAAATGGTGTTCCAGCACAGTCAAAAAAAAAATTTATTGTCAGTTTGTTTGGCAGTGCAATCCATGTTGCTCTGGTCCTATTTTTGTCAGTACTCACAGTCTGGCTCCCTTGCACATCACACGTCAACCATCCGTAATATTTTCAAATAAATAGTTACACATGACATTACATACACAAATACCATTTGGTCCAACTCCACACCAGTGTTTCTACTCTTATAACCATTCCATAACCTCAGTGCTCCACTCTTTAAAGATTTTAACGGTTTACCATCATTTGTTTAAAGCTCCTAAAAAACATGAATATAAAGCATTGCAGGAAAGCTTTTTTTTGTGGTCTAAAAGCTGGCAACAAGTTAGCATTTTAGCCCTTCCAGCTGTCATCATGGGTTTATGGTTAAACGCCTGAAAATATGTCCATGGTTAAGACAAGCTCAAGATAATATCATATTGTATTCTTTCAAGTAAAAAACATAACACCAAGCTTTGATTTTCAAGCTTTTACTTTTCTTGGGAAAGGCAGTAACTAACAACAGTTTGTTGGGGACATTAAACACCCATGCCAAACAGGAATATAGCCTATACTCACTAGTTCACTTTTTCATACTCTCAAACTATTTTCACTCAGACTTTAAGGGGAAAATGTTTTAGTCAAAGACTGAATGACTTTTCGGGACCCTAAATAGAGATGGCATTACAACTGTGATATAGTTGCCTCAATTTAGCATTTTACTTCAAACAATTGTTTTTAGGATTCCAAATTCAGAAAAGTTGTTAAAGATTTTTATTAACAAAACATGAAAGAATCAAACTTTTTGGTCACAGAGCTTATTTTCTGCAATAATCCATCAAATGAAAATAAACAACAACAAAAAAATACTGGCTTTAGTCAAGGGAACCAGGGTGATGCTAACTTCCAGGCTAGCCTACAAAAATACAACATTGCAGCAATCGGTCAAAGAGGACTGATAGGAGGAGGGGAAAAAAACACAAACACATCTTAGTAAAATTCTTGGTGTTTTAATGTAAAGAGACAAGTAAAAGTTCTGAACGATGGCGTCGCAAATAATAAAATACACAACCCTTTGAACAACAGGCAGAGCCATATTAGTACAATGCATTTTGGTCCCTGTGATAAAGTACTACAATTTATAAACTGGTGAAAATTTCTCTAAAATTGACAATTAAAATATCTACAGTTAGTTTATAAAAATCATGTTAAATTGTATAACATACTTAAAATGGATCAATTCACAACAGCTTTAGTCATAAAGATAGAAGAATTTATAGTGATCTTGGGTGCATACTTTTACCTCTATCAAACTAAGATTCCTGCCAGAATCAGATATCATTACACCCACAAATTGGTTTTACTAGTAAAAAAGTAACTGGCAGTGAGAAAGCTAAATTTGTAGGATATAAACTGACCCAATGTGTCCTTCTACAACCAACAAACAGGGAAGTGATCCATCTAGTGTCATCCCTCATTTCACATGGACTAATGAACAAAAATGCAAGCCGCCAGTAAGAGTTAATTACTTAAATGACGCTTCAGTCCAGTATTTCACTTGTATGTCATTGGCTCTTCACCCTCTTCGCTGAGCAGACATGTGCGTATAAGAGCTTCGGTGACTGCGTACGGATCGCAGTTGGCCGAGGGACGGCGGTCTTCAAAGTAGCCCTTTTTTTCTTGGCCCACAGATCGTGGAATTCGAATGCTAGCACCACGGTTAGCCACTCCAGCAGAGAACTCGTTGATATTGGAGGTCTCGTGACGGCCAGTCAGTCGTCTGGCATTGTCCAGCCCTCCTTTAGGATCGTAGGCACGAATATGGTACTGGTGTCTCTTGGCCAGCCTCTCAATTGACTCCTCAATATATCTAAAATGAAAATAAACTTGATTAGCATAACCAAAAAACATTTTATGTCAGCTCTACAGTGTTATGTGTGCGTGTGTGTGTGTGTGTATGTGGGGGGGGGGATGCAAGGTTTCCTTACACACACTTACTTCAAACCCCCTTCCTCACGCATCTCCTTGGTGCTGAAGTTGGTGTGGCAGCCAGCTCCATTCCAGTTCCCTGAAATGGGCTTTGGGTCAAAAGAGGCTACAACGCCGAAGTCTTCACAAACCCTGTGCAGGAGGAAGCGGGCTATCCACAAATGGTCTCCCATATCAATACCCTCACAGGGGCCAACTTGGAATTCCCACTGAAGAACAAGACAACTTCAGCAACTAATTTCTATATTCGATTGAAAAATGGTTTCCTAAAATGGAAAACTTTACCTGTGCTGGCATGACTTCAGCATTAGTGCCACAGATTTTTACTCCAGCATACAAACAGGCTCTATAATGGGCTTCTACAACATCTCGTCCATAGGCCTTATCAGCTCCCACACCACAGTAGTATGGACCTAATCAAACAAATCAAATTAATTTCATTAAACCAACAGGAGTCTTCCAGCTATTAAAAAAAAAAAAAAAAGTCCAAAACCATCAATAGGTGACATCTACCTTGAGGTCCAGGAAAGCCATTGGAGGGCCAACCAAATGGATGACCATCTGTGCCGAGAATAGTGTACTCCTGTTCCATTCCAAACCAAGGATGCTTATTCTGTACCATACCCATGATCTTTTTACACATCTGACGAAGGTTGGTTTCTTAAGGAGCAACACAAGAAACATTAATGCAACCTTCAAATGTAATATCATCCATTATAACTAATTATCCAATATCAACTATGGTATTGAAATCTACTCACCAGCAGGTTTGCGGTTGTATTTGAGAACGTCACACAGAACCAGTTTGTTGGGATCCTTTCTGAAAGGGTCTCTGAACATGGCTTGGGGTATCAAGTACATGTCACTGTTGGACCCCTCAGATTGATATGTGCTAGAACCATCAAAGTTCCATTCAGGAAGCTCTACAGAGACACATAATACAAATACTCATTCTTTTTCCAACACTGAGTTTCAGTAAACTACTCTTTTTTTCTTTTTTTTTAAGAAACCAATATGATTTGAATTGACAATAACTACCTTCAATGGTCTTAGGTGCTGAATCTAGAGTCCTGGTCTTGCACCTCAATCCCTCCCCGGTTCCATCAATCCAGATGTACATAGCCTGAACCTCGTCTCCCTGAGGGAGGTCCAAGTACTGCTGTTTCACAGTTTTGCTCAGCTTGGAACTGGCTGAAGTGGCCATGGTGGTGCTATATCAAACCTATCAGGAGACAACACTGTAAATTAACTCATAGCATTCAAAAGATATGTGCGTGTATATAAAATGTTTTATATACATATATACACACAGTTTGTAAAAGTAGTCTGCATTAATTTGATCAAAAACACAGAAAACTGTAATATTGTGAAATTACAACTTAAAACAATGGTTTACTATTTTAATATACTTTAATTTATGTGATGGAAAGCTGAATTTATCAACGATTACTCCAGTCTTCAGTGTCACATGATTATTCAGATATCATTCTAAAATGTTGATTTGATATGCAGTTATTAACAATGTTGGAAACGGTTGTGCTGCTTAATGTTTTTTTGGAACCTGTGACACTTTTTCAGGATGCATTGATGAATAAAAAGTTAAAAAAGAACAGCATTCAATCAAAATAGAAACCTTTTTTCACTTTATCAACTTACAACCTTACTGGATGAGAGTTTCTTCCAAAACAAAGAAAAAAAAGGTATAGACATATTGTTAGAAAAGATTTCGGTTTTAAATAAATGCTGTTCTTTTTTATTCATCAATGAATCCTGAATAAAAAAGTATCCCATAAATTCCAACATTGATAATAAATCAGCATATTAGAATGATTTCTGAAGAATCGTGTGACACTGAAGACTGGAGTAATTAAATGATTGATAAATTCAACTTAACATTACAGAAATAACTTACCGGTATATTTTAAGGTATTTAAAATAAATAAATTGTAATATTTCACAGTATTATAGTTTTCTGTATTTTTAGTTCAAATTAATAAACGCCGGCTTGATGATTTCTTTTTATAAGATTACAAATAGTAACGTTAATGTTTCCAATTCCAAACTTTTGACCGGTAGAACTCGCATAGAAATCTCGTTAGCTGCTACCAGAAACAACGTGGCCGGTTGAGCCACTCGGGTCATTAAGCAACTCAGACAATAGAGTACAGAGCGCGAGCGACTTAATTCACTAAAGTTAATAAGACCAATGTTAATGAATAAAACGAAACCAACGTCATTAACACAAACCACAGAACGTAATAAGGATCAGTGGGAAGAAATGAACCGGTAGAACAAACAATGTTCAACTAGCGATTTAAATGCTTGGCATTGGCTAATATAACTGATGCAACATTTTGCTGTGACGGCATCGAAGCAATTCAAAAGTTACATTCAAAGCGGTTCTGGATAACACATAAATGTTAGAGCCCTCGATTTTAACTACGAAAAATACGAAATCACCCATTTACACCCTTCAGATTAAAACATGCCATTTAAATATCGCTTAACCAGAATATTCACTCCTACTATAAACACGTTTGGCTTTTTTAACGAAGATACATACCTATCAGCGAGTATAAATAGTCACTAAAGGAGTGGCTGTATTTCCAGAGGGTTTTAGAAAATATTCCTGTATGTTTGCCTCTCATCCTCCAAACTAACAGCGTTTGCTTTGGCCGACCATTTAAAGTGGGTTTTCAGATCCTTTCGCTGCTGATTGGATGAAGTAAAACGTGATTTGAGTTTGGCTAGGTGTCGTCATATTACAGGATCATTTCATTGGGCGCCGTTGAAAATGGGCGGATCATCCCATTCTTTTCAGTATGTCTTCGACAAAGAACATCAAATATTCTGTTGATGTAAATAATTTTTACATCACCTTTTAATAATTAGTTGAACAAAATGTCCGTTCACTGACCAAATGCATTGTTGCTCTATCTGCAGCCAGTAAAACGACTGTCGATTTCAAGAAAAAAAGAGGCTATAAACAAGCACTGGTTTTACACGCACTCTAGCGGTGTTGTGGAAACAGCAAACGTGCACAGCTGAAAGTTTTGTAAGTGAAATATTATAGACGTAGGCCTACCTACTAAAAACACTAACCACATTTCACTGCTTAAAGGTCAAAATTCAGATAGGTCCTTTATTTTGGTCCATTGAATAACGGGCATCTCATGGAAGGTCTAACCGCACCCGTCCCGTAAACATTTTTCATTAGTGGCCTCAGACTTTTGGACAACACTGTATTTCACAGGTTTTGTGTTGCTTTGAGTACTATGCTATTTGAGTTTTGATAAATATATTTTTAATCATTGTTTTATTGCCTAAACAAAGTCTTGTCTGAAAATTATGTTCAAGTGGAAGTGGTAATCTAGTCTTGCATCTGAATGCAATGGGGAGAAAAGAGTAAGATCACATACAATTATATAATAGTGTAAATGATGTGAAACTCTTCTAAGACTCTTTGTTATAAGTGTGTAAAATAGAGCATATTATGAAACTAAAGAACTGGTAGGCTAAAGGGTTAGTTGACCTGCACCTAAACACGACCACAACACAGCCCCTGAATGTCAGCAGAGACTGTATAGACAATTGGCTTTATGCACAGCTTCTACTTCCTGAACTTCAGCCAGCTCCTTTGTTTCCTGTCTGGCATTATTGGACAAACTGATTAATCCAGGTTTGCCTGATTATTGTTACTGAGACCAGGCACACCTGGATTAATCAGTTTGTCCAATAATGGCAGACAGGAAACAAAGGAGCTGGCTGAAGTTCAGGAAGTAGTGAAGCTGTGCATAAAGCCAATTCCCTGTGAAGGCCTCATCGACATGACGGCACATATCCTTCAGAAGAGACTACAAGAACCAGACAGGTCCTCTGCCTTATGCCTAGCTATGTCTCAATACTAGGGTGAATCTGATCTTCAAGCAAAAGGAACGGGATTAATATTTGAATGCTACCGATCCCGATCTGAATTCTGACCATGATGCAGCCTGAATACACCGTGTTTGTTCGTTGGCCAGAGGAGAACTGGCCACCCGACTGAGCCTGTTTCTCCAAAGGTTTTTTTCTCCATTCTACGTGATGGCTTTTGGGTTCCTTGCCACTGTTGCCTCTGGCTTGCTTAGTTGTGGACACTTATTTTTTTGCAGAACTGCTTTATAGATGAATTCCACTAATTTAATAATTGATGATCTTTACAGCGTAACTGAATCAACACTTAACTGACTTCAGCTGAATCGCAGCCAAAATGCATGATTTTCCTGTTATCACTGTAAAGCTGCTTTGAAACAATCTGTATTGTATAAAGCGCTATATAAATAGGCCAAAAGGTGACTTGATATGACTTGAGAAAAAAATAGATGTTTTTTTCTTGAGGACTGAAAGCATGGTTGGTTATCAATCTACTGACCAAAGAGTTTTGATTGAGCATACTCAGGATACTCAATAGACAGTATAAGAGGGATACTCTTGACACTTCAGGACACTTTCATTTGTTTGTTGTAATGTTTTATTTTATAGTCATTTATTTTGGGGTAGGATACACTTCGAATTTAGTGAAGATTCAGGTACAGACAGTGCCGGTCCTCCCTATACGGAAACTACCCAAGGTGTGTAAAGCCCCCGAACCACCTGGGGACCCCTTGCTCTTAAATATTAAGTAGCATATCACTAAAATGTAAAAATATTTTTAATAATATGCAAATATAAATGCAGATTAAACTTTAGCGGAGTCATGTGGAAATGTCTTTTTTCTAAAACTCGGACATCATGCATTGCGGCAGATAATGACATGAGTCTTGACATATGGCTATATGGCTTCCAAACAACATCTGTCCAGAGCAGAAAAAAGGGTAGGCCTATGTTGTTGTTTTTTTGGAACATTTTAAATTCTTATTGAATAAAATAGTCTTGACAAACCAATACATTTGTAAAAAAAAAAAAAAAAAAAAAAAAAAAAGAAAACACTACTCCAGACCAGATCTCCGGGTTTCATATTAATCAAATGTGTTTCGTTAGAAATGCCCTGCATGATGAAATGTAATTTTCAGTTTGTGTCAGTATAATATCCCTCTGGACTGCTACTACTACTACTATAATTGCTACTACTATTACTATTACTAATTATTATTATTAATAATAATGAATCTTTGTTATTTAGTTAGTTAATATTAGATATTAAAATAATGGTGGAGGGATGTCTTTGAATAAATTACGTCTTGTAAATGACAGGACTCCATGAACGAGGTCAAACAATTGAGTGCTATGTCCACAAGATGTCGCTCTACGCTTTCGCTTTATTAATTGCATGCTTTCTAGTGAAACTAAAGCAACTCATCAGATCCAGAATTTACGGTGAATCCTGCACACTGTGAAAGATATCTGAACTATTTGTCTAAGAAACATTTACATAGTTTATCGTTATACTGGTCGTCTTTTTTTATTCAACTAAAGATTTTGTCTAACTTATTGCATTGGGTGATAATGAATTCAGCAGGTACATAGGCTACCACAATGCAAACACATCTACAAGGCCCCCTCCCATAGAGGCCCCCTCCCCCCTGCGCTCTCTCCTCTCTCTAGTTCACATGCACGAAGAGTATGTCACTGTCCAGTGACGTAGAGCTGGATGACTCACTGCCCATCAGAAAAAGTGAGACCGTTTCCTATGACCCGATATAACTAACTAACAAACACAAGCGTCTTCTCCATTCACACCAAACCCTCATCCTAACCTCGTCATGCCATTCTAACGTGATTCTTGTGTAAACCGAAACATGTGAATTTTAATAGGCCTAGCCTACTTGCTTTCTTACAAGTCATAAGGCCCACCCAGTTGTTTCAAATTTTAATAGGTCTAAGCTTTAACTTGCGATACATCTTTTTAGATTTAATAACCTTCCACATATGTTGAAAGAGCCTCAGAGTGGAATAAGAAAGGGAGTGAATCAGTTAATGGCATTACAATCCCTGTCTCCCAGGCAGAAGTGTGAGGAATATGTTTCATAAACATGAACTCTGTCAATGCACTGTGGTCGCACTTATTTTAACTAACTGAAGCATTCAAGTGCAGTCAACCAAAGCCTCAGTGTCATGGTAACAATCTGAACTGAAAAATTAGAGGTGTTAAGACATATTGCAAGAGGCGGGACGCCGCGGGAGTTGTTGTGGTCTGTTGTTTGCTCTTCAAGGGGCTGTTCTGTTGGCAGTCTTTTTTTTGGGATCTTCAGTTGAACACTTTTCTTAGAAAATAAGTGTAGGCTATAGCTATACATTTGTATTTACCAGCTTTTCAATATGCTCAGAGTCCTGGATGACTTGTAACATCAGTTGCCTATTATTTATCACTGGTTTTAAATGCTAATGTTAATAAATCATGTATTCACACCCTTCAATTTCCTGTGATCAGTGAAACCTGTGGGTGAGTCATCAGACTCTGCAATGCACCACAATAACCTATACTGAGGGAGGGTGGAGACTGACAGAAGCTTCCCATGAGAGCTTTGGCTCCACCACAGACACAAACTACAAGATCAGATGTAGACCTATTTGGTGCTGACTGACTAGTGGGCATTTCTGATGTGTTTTTGTTTGTACACTAGTTTGTTTCGCTGTTGTACACAACACACACTGAACGAGCAGGCTCTCATGAAAATGCCCACAGCAGCCTGATGATGTGAAATCAAAGAGGAGTTTATGCAGTGTGTTCTAGCTCTTACATGCGAACACTACTGGGAAATCAGAACATCACTGCAACAGTTGCTTCACTGTTATACATGATTATAAAGAAGGAAAGTGGCTGGATCCCAGTCTAATGTACTCATTTTTTTCCATTATGTCATTTTCTGTGGGAATGTTATGCAGGGGACTCACTAAGTCACACATTGACTGAAAAAAAAGTCAAAATTTTTATCAAATTTACATTTTCTTTGGCAATTCTTTTAACAAAAAAAAAGCACACAAGACAAAAAACCTAAATTCACATAAGACATGGTTTCCATGGTTATTCAATTGAGTTTGCGCTTGTTCCTAAGTTACGTTAATCATCCCCTGTCTATTGAAGCCCTGCAGTGAAATCATTTATGTATGGACAAATAGAATAATAAAATTACCACTTTATTTAGGGTGTCTTTAACTACTGTACTAACATTTAAATCAATTTGATACAATGCAGTTATAGTGTGTACATGCATGTTTTTTAAATTGCACTTATATTTAAAAAATACCTGCACGTAATAACAGCTGTAATTAATTTATGTAATTACATTTATTATAACACTGTTGACTCTTCTCTTAATAACCCACCCTTACCATTAAACCGGTCCCTAACCTTACCCGTCTCACACCTCAATAGCAGCAAAAGTGTTTTGCAATACAACATCAACACAAAACATTGTACTTATTTTGTGATGTAACTACATAGTAGTTAAAGACACCTAATATAAAATGTGGCTGAATAAATAAGTTATTTAGGCAAATAGAGTACAATGCACAAGTTAAACAAGACTTCTTCTCAAAATGGAATGATTAAACACTCAAACAACCATGGCAACATTATATGTCTCAGACTACCTTGGTATGACAGAATCAATGCATACATATTTTGTGTAATCAGGCATTTGCATGTAGTTCTGGTCTTAATGTGAGAAAAATAAGCAGTGAGATTAGTGTCTGACATCACCCTGAATCTGAATGAATGGATTTTTCGCACTGGCCGT